GGATTCCAAGATAAGCATTCTATTTTTTAAACGAAATTATTTTTTATCAAGTTTGTAACTGTGCTAGTTTGCACAAAATCTGCTTTGGAATACTTGCGGCTAATTTTCAATATGAATAATTTGTTGTGTTTGACGTTTGGATGAGAGATATTCGCATCATACATGCAATGAATGCTTACCGATGTTAATATATTTAGAAAAGCATATCCTTGAAAAAGTTTTTACATTTTGTCAAGTAACAGATGATGTTGTTTCTCATAAGCAACTATTCGGTATACTAGTAAAATTGAATTTTTTTTTCAGAATTGGCAAGAAATCACTCTCATCAAAATGCGTTTAATCTGTTTTACCTTCTTTCTCTTCCAACTGAGTGACACTCAAACTATCGTAAGTTCATTTAAAGTTAAAAATAGAAGCGTTGCAATATTTTAAGGTTTAAAATTTTAGCGCAATTTAAAATTGATAATTCCATATAATTTGAGGAGCCACAAATAGAACCGTTGGATTTGTCAATATCAAGAATGATTGAGGACCGGATTGGACCATTAGATCTGTCAGCGCCAGAAGTGAGTACGGGAGAAATAGAATTAAGCAAAACTGATCAGTATGACACAAAGACATTGAACTTACCAATTCAAGAGGCCAGTAGGGAAAAAACAAGTGTAAGAACAAAACCGAAGAGATCATGGCTCGAGTCGTATCAAAAGGAAACATCTAGACTGGAAGAACATACGAATCAGGATGACGCAAAGTCATTGAACCTTCCAATTCAAAAAGCCAGTGAGAAACAGACAAGGATAGGAAGAAAGAGGAAGATATCAAGAGAAAATACGACTCACACAAGTGAGAAGGGGTTCAAATGCAAAATATCCCAGAAAGATTTCGCTGCTCCATCGAGTCTGCGCACACATATGGAGCCTCACACAGGTAAGAAGCCGATCGAATGCAAAATATGCGGGAAAACTTCCACCACGACATCGAATTTGCGTCAACATATGAGGATTCATAACGATGAGAAGCCGTTCTCTTGTTCGGAATGCAATATGAGTTTCACCCAGTCAGCGACTCTGCATAATCATATGACGATTCATACCGCTAAAAAACCGCACGCTTGTCCTGTGTGTTGTAGAAATATCTCTCAATCACGTAGTATGAGAAGGCACATGAGAATTCATGATAAGCCCAGATTCAACTCCACTACATGCGATAAATCTTTCCCGTGGAAATTCCCTTTGAAATAACACATGAAGATTCAAATAACGGGCTGATAGACGCATTTCAAACCGAAACACGCATTGCTATTTCTGATGTTGTTGTATTTTCTATACGATAAATTCATTTTTCCTTGTTGTATTGTTATCATTGTGTTGCTTTATTTGTGCATTGGTATCGTTCCTCTACCATTTCTTTATTATTTCTCTTATCTTAGTGAATAAAATTCCTCGTTTCGCACCTACTTGCACTTTAATAAACAGC